CATCCGATGAGTCAGCTTGTCACTGTCTAAGCTCCAAGCTTTGCACTGAACTTTATTACAGGGCACAAGCGCGCCACTGCTTGCGGAAGGCCGATGCGAACACCTTCTGCACTAACGGCTTCTTGCGTCCAAGGCAAGGGCGGAACGGGCTGTGGGGAGAGCTTGGTGCACAGCTCGATTAAAAACTTTACCGATCTTCTATCAGATTCTGTGGGAACCCTTTTCAAGATGTGTTTGGCAATGGTCATGTAGGCTTCCCTTTTGTCAGGTTTGACTGGGACCAAAGGCCTCGGCTCCTGTGGTATAGGGCCCATCATCTGCAAGAATCGATGTGGGAACGCGAGCAAAGGCTCCTGCACAAGCATGGTGAATGTGGTGAATGTAAAACCACCATTTGCAGAAGGTCTTTTTAACGTTTTGGTTGATAGGTTTTACATTGTTTTTACAATGTTACAGTCAGTCATAGTATGACTCCCCAGGTATACCATTCTCATCCATTCCCTAGTTTCTTCAAGGCCGTTTCCTATGCTCTAAACAACAGGTATTGACCACCGAAAGTCACCAACCCATACTCTGTCACATTTTCTTCCATTTCTCCTGCCCCAACTTGTCATCACTCGCGTGCCTTTTCACCATGAGAATGACATCCTCTGGATGCGCCTCAAAGGAAGCACCTCTACCCGTCGCCTCCACCGTGATGTTCCGGGGCAAATCTGCAAGGACACGCACCCCACACTTTTGGTTGACTGAAAGGTTTCAATCCACCAAACAGTTTTCCCTGTACATGCCTCGTCTTTTGATCATAATGAAAGCGTGCCAAGCACTCTCATCGTTTCTCATGCCCCCGCTAAAGGTCACTGGAGCATTGGAAGTCCTGAGTTGACAGCCGACATGGTGCCACTGTAGAATCTTGCTGCCAAGGCCAAGACAAAGTGAGGTATGTCAAACCAACCTTAAAGTTCCACTGTGACATTAAGTCAGACAAAGGGCCAAGTTTTCCAGTCTCTCACCCCGGATATAAACTGGACATTGATTTTTGCGTGTTCTCCAATCCACTGTCGAAGCCCTATTTTGTTCAGCAATGTGTCAATCTTCCTGGGAGCAGCAAGATTCTAAGCGTGCATTGTCCATATTGTGCTGCTTATTGTTATGTTCAAGGACATTGAGGCAAGCACTGCGCTACATCTTCAGCATCGGCGAGGATGTCGCAATACCGTACAGCAGTTGCTAATAGTCCGAAGATTTGATCTTAGTGTCCGAGAGAAGCAACGTGTCCAAGACTATTTGAAGGCTCAAATTGAGTTTTCGATAGTTACAGGTTTGAAGCTTGACCTGGATCCGAGATTCCAAGGGGCCCGTGAGTGTGACCCACGGAGCTGAAGAGTAAAGCAGCAAGGCTCAGTTTGGATGAGCCCACCAACCAACATAGCAGCTTCAGCACAACATTGTTTTTGTTCTCCCTCGGGCAGTTATCTGCCTTGGATTGTGAACTCATCAGTTTGTTGAATTGGTTCCACAAGTTCAATCACCCCTGATAGTATACATCTAGTAACCCTGTGCAAGTTCAATCACCCCTAGTATACATCTGAATCTAGCAACCTGCACAAGTTCAATCACGCCTAGTATATCTAGTAACCCTGCACAAGTTCAATCACCCCATGTCTAGTAACCCTGCATGTTCAGCGTTGTAAGATACAGTGCTTTCTTACTGTTGAGATAAGCTTCCCAGATGATTGCTTGATCAGGTCTTGGTTTCCCTTGATCATCACACTTTTTCATTGCACCTTCGATAGATCTCAGTCCACATTCCAATACCGTGCTGGCATCGGATTTCGTTCTGCAGTCAATGACATACATGTCCAGACATACATTCTGAATCCAGACGCCCTGGATTTTGAAGCGGGGCTTAGGCAACATGAGTATTGCCTTCCCGGATCTTGTCTCTCGGCTTCTTGGTATGCTCCACTTTGCCTGGTCCATTCCGTCCTGGATGGAATGTTTCACACATTACATAGTAGAATAGATTTTCACCAGCAGCTGAAAATCAAAAGGCTGGGCTGGGTGAGAGACCCGGGTTGAGGAAACCAACAATTTTAGGAAACCAACAGGCCCCCCAAGAGATTTTACAAACACCCTCATCAGATCAAGACACCCAGAATATGCACATCGGATTTCCAGGCATTTGGATTGGTGACTGTGCCTTGGGTTCACAATATCACATGGAATGAGTGAAGGATCACAGCAGTGTAGCATTTAGTTGCAGCTTGCGCACTTGACAAAATTCTTCAAGGGATCTATCGCGTCCCACCTGGTCTATGTGAATTTTGTAGTCCTTCGCTATTTCATATTTTTGCTGCAAATCCTGAGCCAAAGAATTAGTCAACTCAGAATCTCAAGGTTTACACAGTGTCAATAACCAACGTATTCACTCTCTGGCTAAGTCTCTCTGGTTGCCCGGAACTCATCTTTGCATTTTAAGCAGGTTTCGCAGCATCCGTGCGTTGAGGGAGGTAAAAACCTCAGCACCTTGTCCCATCCTCTTCTATAGCATCTCCAAAACGTCATGTACCTGAGTTATAATAATGTACGACATACTATTGGACAACCTTGGACAATGTCAGGTCGTACAAACACTTGATTCAGGGAAGACACGACACCTTTTCCCCTTCAGGCAAGGCAGCAGCCATCTGATGGAATAGCATTCGGATGTTGCCTGGTGGTAAGAATCTTGTAGGTAGATTGTCGATCTTGTTCCAGAAATTACATTCGATGTACCTCAATCCAAGCTGTCCAACTTGCAGCTTCTCATCGTGCCTGTGTTCTGAGATGTTCAACAGAATTAGCAACACTTGGGTTCTCACTGCCCAAAGAAGGAGTTGCACCCCAAGATATGCAAACGCAGCTCCTGATCTGACTCCAAAGTCTCCTCAGGAATTGGCAGCTCATCATCCCGAGATCCAGTTGACTCTGTCTCACTTCCACTACCTCACAATCCAACAGTTCTTCTTCAATGATTGATTCAATCGGGAAACTGTCAATGATTCTTATTCAATGATTTAAAAATGTAACAGCAGGCCAAAGGAAAATAACTCAATTGGGAAACAGTAGTTTTGTCGGCAAGGCACTGTCTTTCTCATCCTTCCTCTTCTCGTAAAAGAGAACAACAGTCAGTCTCTTTCCATGCTTTGCTTGTGGCCGGCCAGCACGCTGGAACCTTAATTGATTGAGTGAGTAAGCCAAACGCTGATTGCAAAAAAAACAAACCAGTATTTTTCTGCTTAAAGACTTCGCTGGCATCATTCCAGCAGCTTGAGCATACTGCGCCATTAGAAACTGATTGATCCGCCTGGTTTTGATAGGCGCCCTTCTCCTCTCCTGGGCTACTAAGAGTAAGCCGCAGGGCTTCAACGACTTTATGGTTGATCGAAACACATTGTCTCCCACACTAGGTGATCTATCACATCCACTCGCATCAGATTGATTGATTGAAACAGTGTGAGTTCAGCTTAATGCAAACAAAGCTACAGCACCCCAAATCCTAAAGCGACGGTCAGCTCTGCCTTGTTGAACTCTTTGAAGCCTGGAATTTCCCATTCCCAGGAGTGCAACGATGCACTTCGGGGAAAGCTGGTATCCCAATAGGGACCACCGCTTCCGCTCATCTCCAGATTCGCCAATCACCTGCTCCACCTAAGATGCGGCATCCCCAATCATCAACATGCCTGCCATCCCCTGTCCATTCAGTCTTCCTGCGATTCTGTTGAAGGAACGGTGAACTTGTCATGTCCCTTCTACTCCTGAGGTTTAGACGAATAGGTCTTGAACTTGCTTGGTAAGCCCCCAAAACACAGCCAGGAACTCCATCAACGTGTTCATGACGGCTCTCAGCCGTTGGAAACAAGTTCCCCGGCTGCATCTGCAAGTTCGACCAGTCAAGTCCTCCAACCTTGACCTGCTGGCACCAGTTGATCCATGCCTTAGGTCGAGACCCCCTCCTGATTGATGACAGATTCCTGCCACCTGTGGTCAATCAAAGCCCAAACAAACAAAATCGTTGAGCTGTTGTAAAACTAGTTGCTTCACTCGATCATATTGCTTTGCTGCAAGACGGCGGTTTCGATTGTTGTAGTTTGGCCTGGCCCTAAGCATCGTATCCCTCCTATTTGGAGTCTTGTTCACAAGATCCAGCTTGGAGCAGCCTCTTTGGAAGGATAGTAAACCCTCTAAAGTGAAAGCCACACAAGCAGGTTCTTTGTTCTTCTCGGCTGGTTTCTGCTCAATCTCTTGTTTCCTCTCCCTGCCCACTAGCTTCAAAAAATTCTTGCGACGGTCATCATGATGATCAGCCTTGTCCAAGCCAGTGGTGTCTGGATCTCTCCCAGAACAGATTCTCAAAAACCTTGCACACATGCAAAATGGTTGACTTCACATGCTAGCCTCTGTCAAAAAACTTGCTGCAACTGAAAAGCTTTCTTCGTGCATCAGACATACTCCCATGGCAGCCCCCACGGCTTTCTTTGAAGCTTGTGGCTGCAAATTGGCACCCTATCAATAGGTGCGACACCCGAATGTAAAGTTGTGACACCCAGATCCAACGAAATGATCTTATATGATTTTTTACCGGTGACAAAGGGATGGTTTTTTGTCTGTCGAATGGATCATGGGCACCCCTATCCTCTAATAGACGTACCCCTTTGGAACCACAGGTTTATATTAGTATTTGTTGGGGCGATCTCTTTCTAAAGCCATCTCGTCGACCAGATGTGTGACACAATCTCAACCTTCGCAACATCAGCCAATTCATTGATCTCAGCCAGCACATCTTCAGGGGGGGTCTATACACCACCCTTTGGGTGGTGCTGGAGGATGTTCATAGAATTTTCTCCATCCACTCTTGACGAATCACATTGCCTGCCTCAGAACTACCCCCACATGACTGAAGTCGTTCGAAAGCTGAAAACCACCGACCCGTCTCCAGTAGCTTTGGGCGTCGACCTCGCCTTCTGCCCCTGGAGGGCGGAGATGCCGTACTGGTCGGCGACCTCGCCCGTGAGTTGGGATACGCATATATGGGCGGCCAACAAAGAGCTATATTGTATGCACTATATACCTGGAGCTTCAAAGGGGTGTCCAATGGAGATCCCTGGTAGTGTAGGGGCTTCCATTGGTAACCCCTTTGAAGGTGCTGGTATGTAATTAGTATGCCTATTTTCTCGATGTTTGCTCGCTTTCACCCTCAACCTGGCCTTGGAAAGAAACGCACCGTGCGAGCGTACGGTGGATGTGTATACCGGGGTTCTGCAGGGAGTTGAGGCTGGGAAGTCTGCGAACGGTGCCGAGTCTCACTGGATAGTTGACAAGTATTGACTTGTGTTGTTCAGCAGTTCCAAAGGAATGTTTTTTTGTCCCATCAGTGAGTGGTTTTGTTTGGAACTTCTGGTTGCCTCTGGTTGCCTCACTTTGATCCATTCACCACCCATCCCTGCAGGTGTGACCAAGTGCATCAACCTCTTTCAGGTCCCATCCCTCCAGCCATACCTCCAGTACACCAACCTCTGGCACAACAGGCTCTTCTTCCCCCCCGCACGTCCGTCCCGTCATCACGCCGTGTGGTTCCTTCGGCTCCCGGACCAACTTGAACTCGTGGAGCTGAATGCCATCGTCATAGGGATCGAAGATGTGATACGTATCCCAAAGCATCTCCTCGGCGTTCCGCGCGCGCGAGGAACAAAGCGGGAGAACAAAGCGTGTTCGCACGAGTTCGCCCGGAACGGAGGAGCTGCACGATAGAACTGACGCGACTAGAAATAGAACTTAAGGAAATTGGATTGGGTATGTCATGGTATATCCTATGACCAGCAATTGTGGATAATGACGGTTTGTAAAGGCCTTTATCTAACATTTGTAATGATTGCATATTGTTCACCGACTGTTACAGGTAATGGGACAGACCCAATGAATGGACCTCCAGACTGGAAGATATATAAGATATGCCGCCCAAGAAAGACCCCAACTGGTTCACCACCGCCAAATGCATGTGAATTCAGTTGTTTGGGTCTCATGGAGTGTGAGATAAGCCTATTCGTCCTTTCACGTCATGCCAAAACGTGGTTCAGGCCGTTCCAACTGTCGGGTGAGAGGTGGCAGGCCGGTCCCTCTCCGCCGTTCCTCACCGTCTCCGCCGTTCCACCTCGCTCGGCCGCGCGCCTCGGCCATTCCTCCAGCAGAGTTCACCTGCGTCATCACCTCCACGCGAATCCATGCAAGGCCGATTTCGGACGCGTCAGGCCGCGCGCGCGGAAGACTTTTTGTCGGTGGGGAGGCGGGCGGGCTGGTCTTCGTCAGGCGCAGTGGCGGGGGTTGTCACGCCGCCACTGAGGTGGGAGGTCCCAGTGGATCTGTGTCTGTTTTTTGCCTTAGGAATGGTTTGAATGACTCTCGGTGATCTGAGGTCAGGAAGCTTCCTTGATTTCAGTGAGGCACTGAAGCCGTGTGGCCGTGGACAGCGTGGACAGCGTGGTTCTTTTTCCCCCCGTCGATGGAGGACGGACTTTCCTTTTCAGGACCTGCAGCACCGGAGGGTCCCCTCTCCCCAGCTGGCCACGGGCTGGTCGATGACCGGGTCATGAGAGTGGATATCGGGTCCCCATTCCCGAAAACGGCTGTCTCCCCATCGACCCGGGTCGGATGGGACCCGGGTCAAGACTGTGTTCCTCTAGCTGCACCGGTTTTCAGGGTCCAGTTTTCGACGGAGTACATACTCTTACCCGGTCGTACCCACCCACTCCGAACCCTTCCTCATGTTCTTATTGCGCCTGGTCCACCAACTTCTGTGCACGATCCTGAGCGCCAAGGTCAAATGGCAACTGAGGGGCCCTCATCTTGATCCGATTGTGCTTTTTGGTGGAAATCAAAATATATAAGACCGAAGAACACTGACACCCCTACCTGTTGGGTGAAACTGTCCATGCTACTGACTATACTTGATTCTAAAACACACACACACACTCACACACCGACACACCCCGTCTCTTAGCACGTTCCATACTCATCAAATCTCATCAAAATGTCAATTTGATGTCGATCAAAAAGCGTTCAAACACCACTCCCATCCACGACCTTTGCATCACCTCAAGACCACTATGCAGACCACTGTTCTGCAGCAGAAACATGCCCACCCAAACCCACCGGACAGCATTGGGTCATCTAATCCAACCGAGGCGCGGCAACGGTGCCGAACTCCTCCAAGGTGTCCTGGATCTTCTCGCTGAAGCTGCCCAACCTCACCCGCTTCGCGCGGCAAGGTGGTGCCGCGTGGTGTGGAGGGGTGGGGGAATGCGAACCATACGGACGGACTAGGTTTGGATGGGGGTTCCGGGGGGAGGGGCACGGGTGTTTTTTGGGTTTTTGGAAGAGCTCGAAGAGCCGCCTGTGCTACTCGGATCATGAGCCGATGACAACGGATTCCTTTTGGGGTCCAATTCCCAGGAGCACAAGTCGATGAGAAAGGAGAAAGTCATAGAAGGCTTCTCTTGCAGCACCGCGACGTCGGTGTGCCCGGTCCACCGCATCCTGGGGCACCACACCACTCGTTGACTTGCTTCAAGGGAGGCCTGAGTCAACTCCGTCGGTTCGCAGGGTAACTCCCAGACTGCACCCCGATCGGATGCCTTACGGTGCCAGTCGCGGCCAGTGTACGTGTGCGTACACGAGATTTGGGGGGAGTGACGAAGGAAGATATCGCGTGAAGGCCTTGGGGAAGCTCCCATGAAAATGAAAACGTCGTTCCAAGATCCGGTGAAGGATGATGAACATCTGCCACTACAACGGCCCCCCATCAACCTCACACAACATAGTTGTTTGAAGATCAGAGATATAGTAACATCAATTCCTGGAAGCCCCAAACAACCAGAAACAAAGTGGTTGTTCCAAACATCATGGCAATTGAGATCCTTCCAAGTGCAAACATCATGGGGACTGGGTTTCCAGGTTCCAAGTGATTAGCAGTCACCTGGTTCCAAGTAACCAATCTTATCACCTGGAAGGAGATGAAATATCCCCGAAATCTGAGTCCAATTGCTGGTCTCAAACCCTCAAACACCCTCCCAGCCCTCCCTGACGACCACCCAAATACCTCCGCCCCAACACCCCCTCTATGGCCGACACCTGAAGACTCCGCCCCCCTTTCGGTCACAGAAACAAGGACATCGCTAGTAGTAACAAGGGCATCACTACTAGTAGCTAGAAGCTATTAGTAACAAGGCACCTTACTACTATAGTATCACTGAAGCATTATTTCAATCTAGTTTCAAAAAGGAGGGGGGGTGTTTGGGGGGGGTGATGTTGTGATAGTAGCTCCCGGCACTACTACTATAGTAGCTAGAAGCTACTAGTAGCGATGCCCTATAGTTACTATGGTAGCGGACTGCAGGACACGCCCTTCCCAAGCCGGGTGCACGACACGCACGCAACGCGCGTCCGCGTCCGCGTGACCCGCGTGACCCGCGGCCCTGCGGCCTCAAGCTGTCCATGACTTTGTAGGTTAAAGGCTCCACCTGAGCGCGAAAGAACATGCAAGAAAAACAGGACCCCGGAAAACCGAGGGTTCGATAGCTCCGAAGAAAAAGAGGTGCACCTATGGGGTGTCCATGTGATGACCCGACGTACGTGGGTCCTGGTATGACCCCGTTGAGGTCGACCGAGTCGGAGGACGGGCGCACGGGTGACTGAAACCATTTTGAGCCCCACAAAGAGGTGAAGTGAAGGGGTGTGTGTCAACACCACCTCGAAACACCTGGTACAAGTCAGTTGGATCTCATTTTATATGTTTTTCTTGCTGCCTTACCATGCACCTTGATATTTTACTGGAGTGTTGGTCAGATCAAACTCAAGGAGTTGCTGGACTGGACCAGATTTTACTACTGGCCCGGACTGGACCAAACTCATGATGGATATGACGAACTCCGAAGTCCTCCACCTTCAAACCCCCCCCGGATCTGCTGCACAGATCGACCTCACCTTCTTCATGGCTTTGGTGGCCACTTGCTCCACATGATGTCGAGCAATCGCCTGCGACGACTGCTACGGCTGGAGGGTCGAGGACCGGCCATCCCGACCTGTGGTCCGACCGACTCATACCTCGTGGTAGTTCAACTTACGATCTGTATATCGGTCTGTGCAGAAAAAAAGAAACACACACCTCGAACTTCAAACCAAACATCAACACATCGAACGCTCGTGGCGGGCGGTTCAACAGGCAGCGCTTTCCCACGCTTCACACGCTGCGTTCGCCTCGAACTTCGCCTCGGTCATGTTCGGCGCCTGAGGCGACACCGATCGGTGGGTTCCGGTGCCGAGGTCCTGACGTGTTCACAGCCCAAACACATTGGGTCCCTCCAAACCGCATTGGTTCGACCCCAGAGCCCTCCATATATGAAAGTCCCGACGTTTTGATATGAGGGTCCAGGGTCGCGTCTGGAAAAAGGGTTTTTGAGGTCGACTGGACTCCCAGGGTACTGCAAGGTGCATCTTTACGGTCATGAGGGGAGGAACATAAAGTGACTGTGGCTCTGTTGTCTTCACTTCTTTCGAAACACTCTTGTTCTGTAGCTGGTATGCAGATGTGTGCTTTCGAACACGCCATACCATAACACGCCCATAGCGGAGGAGTGTGGGAGTAAGCTGGAAAAAAAAGGTGATCCATAACACGTCTTGATCAGTCTTGATGTCAAGATACTGAGCTGATCTTGGTCAGTCTTCGGGGCCTTCGGCCCGCCGAACCCATCGAGACCGATCCGCTCATCGCCGCTCGGTCGAACAACGGACCGACCGATCACGGCGCTGGGCCACCGCATTTCGGTCACCGCTGGTCTCTTCCAACCATCCGGGCAGCCCCCAACAACACCGAGCCCCCAATTCGAGAGAACAAGTCTAGAACGAAAGGTAGGAAAATGGGGTGGTTCTCATAATTATTGGGAGACACAGCCATAGCATGAACAAACGCTCACGAGCCACAGCAAGTTGACCATCCTGTGTTCTCAGAGCTTGTCAGCTCGTCCTTTATATAAAAACTGACACTTCCTGATTCCGAAGAAAAATCACCGCTTTGATCCCCAAAACTGCCGTCGACCACCGAGGTCTCGCCATGAGGCATATTGTTTCAGAGTGCTATCGATGGTGGAGCCAGTCAGGGACAACATGTTGTCCACACCTGGGCAGGGAATCGCAGAGCGACGGATTTCCCCGGTGACAGTGGGATCAGCTTGTTGTGAAAAAAAAACTGAAGGAATCCCAGTCGGAAGCCGGGCATCGGTTTCGAAAGGAATGAACATATCGTCAAGCAAATCTTGTTCAGTTCCAACTCCAGTATTTGTCTCTTTTCCAACAAGGAAGATCACCAGATTGTAGCCATGCAGCCCAAAAAGTGGGGAAGAGAATCTAACAAAACCACAGGCAGTTCCTCACAGACAGTTCCTTCCCTACTCTAGAGCCACCTGCGAGGTCGATGCGCGCCTTCCTCGAACTCGTCAATGACGTCGACGGCTGTGGAGAGCCACTGCGTCACCTCGGCGTTTCTGCGCCCCAAATGCATCGCTACTTGTAGCTTCTCGTTACTAGTTGCGATGCACCTTGCTACTAGGTAAAACACTTTGGTGGTATCATTTGTGCTCATCTTACGGACCAAACAGAGCATTCATGAGCATATCTATCTCTGGGGCGGTGTCCTCCGCGAAAGCCGGCTGCTGCGACGCACTGTGCGTACGGGGTGTTCGTGAGTGAACCACCTCCCCAAAACGGACATGCGGGGTGTGAGTCTCTACATGTCTGGGGATGCTTCTGGGTGGGATGAAGAGTTGAAGACCAGAGTAGTTGAGCCAGGACTGGGCCCTTCATGAAGCCTTGAGCGCGCAAAAACAAACCACATGCCTCACTTGGAATCCCTGTTCAGATCGCTGTCCTTCGCCCCTGGCCATTTCGGAGAGACGCCTCCATTCGCAGCTCCATCCGGTCCGCATCCATCCCATGAGATCTGGGGGAAGGTGGATATGGGTGGATCTGATCTGAGTGAATCATCTCCACAGCAACGACGAGCGCACAACACACGCCCAGGCGGACGAGCGCGCACAAGCGCGCGCCGCTGCCAAGGGGGGGCGTTGTGAAGAGCGATGTCGATCTCATGAGGTGTTTGGAAGGTGTCGATCAAGCGACAGGCATAGGAAATCACATCACTGAGCTCAGAATAGATGTATACCTCTTCTCAATCAATGTGATGTTATAGACTATAATAGCAACGTATACTAGCGATGGCCTCCAACCCGAATCCGGGCGCCAAGTCACGTTGCCCATCGCAGGCTGAAGCTCATTGTCCAACGCGTACCTGGCAATGGTGTTCATGTGGCAACTCGCGGTGGTGCTTCCCCCGAGAACCATCCCAAACCAACGTCCCGGTGGATCTTTGGGGCTTTATGGACTAGTACAGCTGACCACCAGAGTCTATGATGAACTCTACAAGAATGATCAACCCAGACGCTCCTGGACCCTCATATGCAGGGGTCGGACCCGAATCCTCTGGAGGGGTCTGGACCCGAACCAATCCCTTAAGGGTTTTCAGGGACCAAGGGCTGTGAACGGAGCGTCTGGGAATAAAGGACACAAAAAAGCAAAACACACATCGGCCAGCTCCATGTCCCTTTTTCCTGGCGCACGAGACGCTGGACGCCACACTCCCCCAGCCGCTGGCCGACCTGGCACCGAAGTGAGATCCAGGGCGGTTTCGACCCCGCCTCCAAACAGAGGTTAAGGGGCGTCCATGAAACAGCCAAAGCGGGGGCCTGGTGGGGCCCTGGCGCGGGGGGTTTGGATCTTCCATCAACTTTTGGAGGCAGTTGTGTTCCGCGAACACGGCGCCAAAAGGAGCCTTGGTCATGTGGGTTGATTTGGTTGATCCAAAGCACAGCAGGGCGCCCTGACCAAGCTGCTGAAAATGGTGCAACCAAACGTGCTGCAACTCGGCACGTTTTCCTGTTGGGATCAGATTCCCTGCACTTCATAGCAGCAACTGATGTCAGGAGCTTGCATGCAGGGTGGTAGTTCTCCGCAGCCAAAGTCCAAGATTCTGCGGACACCTCCGCCCTACCTCCAAGCAATTGCTCATGTCCTGTCACCTCGTTAAACAGACCTCACAGCTTTTTGGAGAACGACGTTGAATGTCTGGGGCTACTGAGCTTCTGCTACAGGTATACAACAGGAGACCCTAAGTGGTGCCAATTGGTGGTAACGGGTGTCTGCAAACAACACCCCTTGGGGTCTCCTGGTAAAATAATCTTATAATTATAGTATATAGTATAGTATTACTATTTTAGTTGATAGACCCAGTCTACCTGTACCAGGAAGCACCAGTTGCCAGGCATTGGCGGTACACGGCACCCTCCGACCCTGGCAATGGAAGGAGTCGCTCCAGATCCCAGACTCACTTCCTTCGGCGTCCTTCGTTCCCGACTCCAAGTGGACACCGCATGGCACCAACCCATCGTTTTGACTGACTTTGGAGCAGCCCAACAACCCAGGTCAACCATCCTCAACCATGTTAGGGCTCTATGTTAGGGTCCATGGACGTCCCATGTCGGGCACGTGGCATGTCTCGTCTTCATCACCCCCCCATCTCGTCGCCTGCCGATGCCGCTCAGCATCTTGGAGGTGTACAGGTTTCCGACGAGGACCATGACATGGCCTCAGAGAGTGTCCAGCCGAGAACCGGCGTTGGCCTTCCGTGCGCCCTGAAGACAGCCAGCCGCGGCAGGTGGGGAGGGGTGGTTGTTGGGCCCAAGGAGAGGTTAAGGTGAAGAGTTGGCCGTTGGGGCGGTGGCCGGAGTGGTCGAACTTGGAGGGTAGCCCTCTGTCGCATCCATCCACTCACAGGACTCCAAACCCTTCACTTGGAACTGCTGGATAGTCACCTTGAATCAAGAAAGCCTAGATGGAAAACCGCCACTGCTAGGGTGGGAAGGAGACGTGCTTATGTTACTTTTAGGAGGCCTGGCAAGGGAGCAAGCTCTAACCAGCAGATCTTGGTCTCCTTCAGGAGAAGCGGGTTGAACAAGCGTCAACTGTGCCGCCCCCTATGCAGGGTTCAGGAACTGGTTAGCAAGTCTTCTTTTGTCCGAAGAGATCGTTTTCGCTGTTCACAATGAGATCCTACCGGATGCTGCCTTGTTAGGCAGCGGAGGCTGCACTCTGTCCGACTTTGCTGGACAAAAGGTGCAGAATGGCATGCATAGCATTGGAGACAAGGGGTGTGTGGCCAGCGCAACAAGACTAAGAGTTGGTCAAGAGTCAAGAGCAGGCTCAGATCCTCAACTGAGCCTCTGGTCTTGAAAGAACTCGCCCGCCAGACTCTGGTGCTGTTGCATGATGCCGCGGATGCGTCTTCCAAGTTGGTGCTGAAGAAGCCCCCCAAAACAACGGTGTGCAAACAAACGGCTAGTGTGGAGCCATGCCGGGGTCTATCTTCCGCGTCCAGACTCCACTGTTGGGCCAGGTTGTGGCGACTCACCAGCTTTACATCTCAGAACTTCAACTCGCCGCCGTGAAGACTAGGGGCGACCCCCCACCACGCGCGGCCGCACTGGTCTTTGCTTCGATCTCTGATTCTTGCCTGTTCGATGTTGGCACTCACTCACTGCACTGAAGCGTTGCCACTGTGCAATCACCTGCGCCTGCATCAATGGAATGCACGAAGTAAGTAGCGCTTCTGTTTCAAGGCTTCCGTGTTTAAACATTCCTTGAGGCATTGTTTTCTCAAACCTGTTCCATTTCCCGTGTGTTCTTCCATTTCAGACCGGCCCAATCTCTCTCCAGGCACAGAAAAAACTTGTTGCTCGGAACTTGCGACCAACCACCGGTGGCACGGCTCCACGAAGAGCCTCTCTTCCCATCGCTCCCCATCGGCTACGGCGGGTCCGCTGTGCCGCTTTCGAAAGGCGCGGAGGATCCGTCGCCGGAATCGCTGCGATCCAAATCGCCCAACCGAGCTGGACCGAAGGACGGACACCACCACGACGAGTGGACGGTGCGTCCTCGGTCCACCTGTTGTTTCAACACCGGACACCTGGACACCTGGTACGTGAGGGTCAAGTTCCAAGATCTACCAGCAAAGGTTGAAAAACCCTATAATAGGCTATCCTATAGGTATCCCTGTAGGGTCCTATAAGGTCACTTAACCTCTGTTGGTATGTTTGGGTGTTTCACCACCTGCTCACCCTGCTCATGGGATCTGCATGACCGCCTTGCAGCCCGACGTCCTGTTGGGCCCAACAAAAGGGGACCGCAGAGCGGTTCTGGTGCGTTGAGCACCTGAACCAGCACGGCCAATCGCGGATGATCCGGTCACGCGATCTTCAGGTTCCAGCAGCCAGGGCCACTCTGAGAATGCGGGTTCACAAAAGGCATGCAGTAACAACAACCTACTACTAGCTCCTGGCCTACTACTAGGAGCAAGGACGCTACGTTCGGGGCTCCTGGCATCGCTACGAACGGAGCATTCTTACATACTATATACTTCCCAGAGTTCCAGCTTCCCCCGGCCGACCGAACCACCTGTCGTCGAGTCACAGCTGATGGTGGCAATAAAAAGGCACAGCGTGCACCGTGGCACGCCCTGGTCGGGTGCGGCATCGCGGCCGATGTCGCGGTCGCACCGTGTGGTCTTTTCAAAAACGATAGATTCCTGGCCAACTTGGATTTAATAGCCTGAATCCCGAACAACCAGCTGTTTTACGAAGGATTTTGGACTACAAGCCAGGTCAACCTTTCTTCTTCATGGTCGAACAGAATGGAAGGCTAGGGAAGTTCCTTTGACAGCACCATGGAAAGGGTAGCGGGTGGCCGTGGTTATCGAAGGAAAAAAAACATATACATGTGGGGTCCAAATAAACCACCTCATGCCAGGATCTTCCCGGTGACCTTTTTGGAGTCCCAAATCAGGTGACCTTCTACAAGCCTGGCAGGTGACCGAACCAACCAGTGAATCCAGTTCGGTCGGTTCGGTCACCGGGAAGATCCAGTATCGCTGAAGCATTTGCCCGTCCGTTCTCACCACCACCCGTCGGTGCGCGCTTGGCACCGAGCCGGGAAGAGGCGGAGCGGCGAACGCAGCTTCAGCCGTGGGAGTTGGGTTCCACCGGCGACCTCTTCCGGCAGAAGTATGGCGACCAGAAACTGGATGTGCCCTTCTCCTTCGTTCGGAGCTGCAGCTGTCTTCCATCTCTCGTCGCAACACGTCATTTCACACCAGTCGTACCAGTCGCGTCGTCTCTGGGGGTTGGCAGAGCCGACTTCTCTTTCACGACGTCCCGGTCGACCGTCCTCCCCAAACGGGAGACACATGCTCGGACGCGCCCGTGGACACAGCCGTGGCCGCCCCAACACATCACCCGCCGTGGCCGTGGCCGCGGCCTGGTTCGCCATCTATGGAATCTCAGCGATGCGGCAGATGGGGGGGGTTCGGTCCTTCACCCGGGAGATGTGGGACTCAGGGACGATTGGAGTCAGCATCGGACAAGCTCTGTAGATTGGTGGACATGACCCGACGTCCGTAAAGGACCATTGCCATCCATGTGAGAAAGAGTGTAGAAGGTGGAACTGAAAAGCGGAGGATGAACATGACATATGCGGTGAATGTTGAAACACCTACCAGTATCTCGTACTTCCCCAATCTTCCCATATACCCCGCTGACTCAAAGCTTCATCCGATCCGAGAACCACACGTCTTGACTGAGCCTTTTAAGATACACTGGGCCAAGAAAGCCTGGAAAAAAATGCAGGATGCACAGCTCAGTTGTTGTAGATTGGAATGGAACATATCCATGATTCAAGGGATCCAACTGGATGACATGGGGAAACTCCAAGCCATGTTGCTATGTTTGGAACCCGTCAGTTTCACCTGAAATCCATCAAATCCCTGCTCGACCAACAATTGATAGCAGCACCTGCATTCGACCCCAGCTGTCCCCATCCAACGAACGTTGCGGTCCCCACATCCCATCACCCCGCGGTCCCGGATCACCATCCAACACCCACCACACCCCTCCCACCATCTTCCACCGGCGCCCCCCAAAAAAGGTATCTAAAACATATAACAACCATCAAAACAACACCACACCGACCGCTGATCTCCGTTCCCCGCCTTGAACCTAAAAACACCACGATTTTCTCGCCACCGCCCTTCGCCGACCCAACGCCTTCACCCCCCCACCGAGGCACCGTTGATGTTCGACTCGGTTCGGTGTTTCACGGGGTCGGTTGCGCAGACTCTCGCGAACCGTCTGGAGCGGCGAGCGCGGGGCGCGGAAGGCGGAAGGAGCCCAGGCAGCGGCACGTCGGGGCACAGGGATCGAGGTCCGGTCGGCTGAGATCACCGGCGCAAGTGCTTGGGACCAAGGTGGGCGCGATCCGCTCCAAGCGCGCTAGTGAGTCACTAGTGCGCAAGTTCACTGTTCACATCGATGTTCTGTGAACAGGTGAAACCGGTGACTGCGGATCGTTCCTGTTGAAGCCAGACCCTTTTCGCGGGGCTCTCCCACTGTGCGACCACTGAGGCAGTGCAGATGTTTTTGTGAAGGCCACTGAGGCGGTCCAATCTGGAAGCTTGAGCGTCCCTTTCAGCTTGGATGAAACACACGGAAATCATATCTGCTTAGAAAGAAGCATCCTTCAGATCGGAGTGAACCCCGTAGCAAAAATATGGAATGCTGTCAACATGTGAATGCCAAGAAATCGAAGATCATCAAATGTTGGCCAGATTGGCACCGGACCACTTGTGACCACTCAACCCTCAACAACACCCCACAACGAAGCACCTGCATCGTCCGTTGGACTCTGCCTCGTGTGCAATGTTTTGTTCCATCGACATGCAGGACATCACAGCATGGCAACGGTAGGATATCCAAAATGGAATATCCACCTCGGTCGGATGGTTTTGGACCCCCCCTGACATTCCCTGACTATCCATGTTCCATCCAACCACCCAAACTGGATGGTGCTGGATATATTAATTATATAAACCATTCGGATTGTATTAAACCTCTTTATAAATATTGAAGGGTTTCACAGGACATTTCTCGCTCTGGAAACTGCATGCGGCAGTTCAGAACCCGTTCCGCACTCTTTTCTGGAGCTCAGCACGAGTCCGGGACTTAGACTCTCTCTACAGAGGCACTGGAGCTGTAACTCCAAGCATGAGCCCCCCCCCAAAAGGGAGATCACCCCGAAATCCAAGAATCGTCCAAATGAATCCACCAACTTGACTTCTGAAGACTCTTTTTTTTTCGGGGTGAAAACGCGTGGCGTTTCTGGCCCAACCCCCAGTCGCTCGACGCTGCCGGCGGAGCTTCCGGTGGTTGAAAAAGAGGTTGGACCGGCATTCTTTGAAGTGGGGAAAATGAACTATAAGGCCCTCTGCCGGACAATAACATTAACAAATGTTTTCCATGAAACTAATGGTTCAAGTTGGAACCTGGCAATTAAGACCGTTTACATAACAAGTGGGACTGGGACTGGGCAAACATGTCCTGTGTTTCTGCATGCTTCTTCGGGTTCTTTTTTCTGTCTTGTTGGATATCTAGAGTGGGCTCACGGCTCGAGCCGTGATCCTCTGCGTCCTCACACGTCCTCGGAAGTCGCTCGACTCGCTCCTGGCGCGAGCCCTGGGGGCCGACCCTGTACAGGTGACGTGCAATTCGTCGACGCTCTACAGTCAGAGCGAAAGCTTCCTCAAGCTCGCTGGGTCGGTCGCTGATGTTGTCTTGGCCCTGCCGAGATAGCTGTTTGCAAATTTCCTGGTGTCCGATTGGCACTTCGAAGTGTGTAATTACAACACTTGACCATGACAACTAACTGCACAATGACTATTTTTATGCTCAACGTTCTTGGAACTTCATCTCATCTAGACTCCCTTCATCTCAAGTAAACCTCCCTCTCACAACTACGGACCCATCTGTCCTCATGGCCCCTTCTGTGCCACGAAGCCTCGCGGTTTTCGCTGCTACGGACCCTCAGGCGTTAGGGCGCGGAGGGCAGGTCGCTGATGAGGATGCCTCGTCGCGCGACGCCGTGCGCGGCGCGGGTCGCAAAGCGTTCCAAGCGACGAGCGATCCCGGCGTCCAGCGGCCCAGGCGAACCGTCGGACCGCTGAGGAGGAAGCCAAAGAAGAGAAAGCACTTATACCAGGACCTTCCAAGAGGTGTCTATAAATAGCCTCTTAGAGGTTAAGAGGTGGCCAAAAACCACCGGACTTGGAAGGTCCTGGTATAGATATGACCTCGTTCAAAGACATCTCCCAGGATGTCTCTTAGTCTCTGAGTTTCTCCGATTCATGAAGACTGACATCGACTTGTAATTCAAAAACACCATCACAATCAGAATCATAAAGTCACCGCTTCCAACGGGTTGGCTTAGTGAGTACGTAATGGAAACGATTTGAACATACAGAGATGTTTTTGTGCAAAATTGATCCAGGTTCAAGATATTGACATCGTGATACCACCCTGAAGGGCGCACCCTGAGAGGGCTGAAATGTGAAAGGAGAAAGCCTCACCTGCTTACTGCTTCCACGATCCTTTAGAAAGGAAAAAGAAACGGACAAATCACATCAACCTGGAGCAAACAAACATGCTTGGCTTCGTCAAAATGGGCGTCACGGAGCACAAAAGATCGGTGCACTCACCGCTTTCCCCGGTGGCACTCCTGCAATGCAACCGGTCATAAAGCACGCAACAGAGCCGGTCACCTGGGCCGGGGTGATCGGCCGTGTGGGGCAAGCAATGTTACACCCAGTGTATCCCAGGCAGTTCCCACGTCTATAAGGAACCAGACATTCGTTCGGTCTATGGTTTTTAGTCGAACTGGAACCACTGGTTACAAGGCATACGGTATAGTGGTAACTGGATGCCCTGGCCAGACTTCGGGTTTATGAAGAACAGAGCCACACACGCAGCAACACAGACCGACGGCCACTCCAACGAGATCATTGGGTGATTGGATCGGATTCGTGGTGTTTGAGGACTGCCAGGACTGCCAGGACTACCAGGACCCAAAAGTGAAGATAAGGCGAACATGTCTGGGGTTGGGCCTCAAAAACGTCCTGAGGGTTCTGGGATATTTGAGGAACATCTCTCAAAATCTACTACCCGCCATGTTCATCCCTCATGTAAGGTTTAGTTTAGGGGAGGCAAAGGCTGCCGATATGCCATGGTTTGCCCTCGTCCGAACCCGCTGTTCGCCGTTCTGTGGGGGGGGCACCACCTCCCTAAACCGACCTCACGGCTCCCCTAACCGCTCCCCAGAGCCCTCGGACGATCAGCCCTCGGAGCCCCCAGACCTCATGCCCAAGTCGCCATGGCACGAAGAGCCAGGCGGGCAAAGTCCTGCTTCCTGGTCGGGCGGAAGGAAGGACGGAACGCACACCGCGCGGAAGAGGCGGAAGAAGAGGTCCCTCCGTGGTTTCGAACAGAAAACGGGTCTCCTGTTCGATCCATGGTTTGAGCGCAGTCTATATCTATCCCAGACACTCCATGCCACATTGACCCCCAAAACGGTGGTTTTGATACGATGTAGGTCTGATCCATGCAGTCGACGACCGGGAGATGGTCAGTCCCTTCGTGGAGAGTTCTCTGAGTGAGGGACAAGCCAGGATACTGGTGGAAAGCTCACAGGGTGAGGATACTGAGTTCCTCCACAGCTTCGGTATGACTGGACCCTCTAAACCAACCCCAGTCCCACCGAACCTCACATCAAGATACTTGGAGCCCTAGGGATATATTCATGTGTCAAAACATGTCAAGTTCCGGAAGCTCTGGGTCAGGTGGTTCTCCAATGAGAGAACGGTTCTGGTGGTTGAACCAAAGGGGAATACCGTGCGACAAACTGACAAAGAACTTGAAGATTCTATCAACCACTTCTGGGGGGGCGCAGAAGGGCTCCAAACATCTTGAACAATCATGGAAGGTTTGCTGATAGATGCCCTACTGTTTGAAGACAAGAAACCTTCTTTGATGTCCTTCTTGGATGAACCCGGTACACTCCCAAAAACTCCTTATAAACGGTTTTTCCTCTGCCAGGGCCCCTGTTTGGGGTGGCTAATGGACCTCCCTTAACCCTTAAGGGGCTATTATTAGACACCCCTGGCCCGGGGGGCGCTGGTAGTCATGCTGCCCCAGTCGCGTCGCACCTCTTGCAGCTGGGGGCCGGTTCCAGAACACAGGTTTACCCAACGTTCCAACGCAATCTCCATGTTCATACCCAGCAACAGATCACCGTTTTGTTCAGAAGCCTTTCGGAACCGTTCAGTATACCTCTTCCATTTCGGAGACCGGGATGTTCGTGTCCCGGGCCCTTCTGGGTCCGCCTCGAGGGAGCCAAGACGGACAAGCCGCCCACCTGGCGTCTAGCGCGGTTCGGCGTTCGTCTCGCGTCGTCGGGGGACGGTGCAGCTGGCGTTTTCCAGAAAAAGGAAGGCTGTAAAGGGATGGCTGTAATAAGGGAAACACATGTTCATAAAAAATTGATTACAGTAAAGGCTTAAGGTGTTTCCAGGTAAGGATGTCCCAATTTCCCGGAGTTTCCATGGAGTTTCCATGGAGGAGTTGGGTGCTAGTTCGTTCGCGAACGGAGCCCATAGCGGGGTATGGGATGGGAGCGCTATGGGTGGTGCCCCGGTCACATCACATCCACTGTTCCTGGATGGGACGAAGCAAACAACCCGCCGAGACAACGCCAGGCCAAACACAAAGACTACGCGCTAGGCCACCACGTCGTGTGCGTGAGTGCAGCAAAAGCCTGTATATAAAAACCCGTAGGAGGTGGTGAAGCTTTCTTATCAAAATCAAATCTTGCAGCAGGACTACACATTCGGTTTCCGACCCGGTGGACAAGAACGACTAACTAACTCTTCCCATTCGGTTCAAGAGTATGGGCTCAGCAACGAGCAACATCGTCAAGCTCAAGTGAGTGTTCGCTAGTGTTAGTGAAGATGACTCTGACTTCGCATGGCCAAAAGAGAAGACCACCATCATGGGCACCCAAGAATGTCAAACGGAGCACCGGAGCACTAGCTGTCCTCTTGGATTTCGGACTCTGAAGCAAACCCAAGAACTTCCGTTTTGACTGAATCTATCCCTTCGACGCCGCAGAACGTTGGCCCCGATTCTTCGACCTGAATCCCGATGGAGGCAAAGTTCGAGAAGCCGCAGAGGGCATAGGTCGCGATGACCTCCTTAGAAAACCGCTCGGACGGGTCCGGTCCGGGCCGGCTTGCGGTCGCCGACCGGAAGCCAGCGGAACAGAGCTTCAAACATGTTCAGTCTGCCTTCGAAAGATGTCACCAGCAAGAACTGAGCTTTTTGGAGTGCATGCAGCGGTTTGGAATGGATCTTAGTGATCGTTAGAACAGATCGTCTTGACCGCGACAGGAAAGACTTGGCAAATAAGCAAGCAGCTCCAATCAAAACACCCCAATGCTACCTTCAATATCCGTAGGTGTTCACACGAACCAGCAGTCTACCAGCAGTTCCATCCAGAAACGTACGTCTAAAAGAAACGGTTGCTTCGTCCCATGGGGGGGGGCCCGTGAATGTGACGGCATGGAACTGCCGAAAACTTCCGCACCCTCTCCGAACACTTGGTATGTTTCAACAGCTCCGGGTGATTCATCACCGAGGCACTGCCTTGGTAGAGATGGCGCCCTTGGCGACGAGATCGGCCAGGTTTCGGTAGGCCACGAACTCCTTTTCGGTCGGGGCACCGGCGCGGCGAAAAGGAACTCCGGCCAGTTTGGCGAGCGAGGTGACCGGTGACATTCCAATATCATCCAATATCTATACCCTAAGGCCTAAGGGGCTTTGTAATAGGCATACTAATTACATATAGATCTATACCAGGACCTTCCAAGAGGTGTCTATAAATAGCCTCTTAGAGGTTAAGAGGTGGCCAAAAACCACCTGTTGGAAGGTCCTGGTACCAGCACCTTCAGTTCGGGGTTACCTGGCTGGAAGCCCCTACACTACCATCCGGGATCTCCAGACAGGGCACCCCGACATGAAGCTCCAGGTATGTATACCCTAAGGCCTAAGGGGCTTCGTTCTTGATCGTCCCGGGGTGTCCATGTCGACCACCCCGACAGGTGGGTCCTGGAAAAAAAAATAAAACAGGGCCCCCAGGCCAGGGGTGTCAGGTGGTGTCTAATTACAGCTCCTTAAGTCAGTGATCTGGGGGTATCCAGAGACAGAACCGCTCCGGGGGTCCTGGTATACACTGTGCAACGGCAAAAAAAACCTGTGCCGATCCAGAGACTTCCGATGTGACTTGTGACCTGTTCCTCCCAGAGCCTCAGATAAAGCCAACAGAGTGTATCATGTGGTATGGATCTGGTTCATGTTAAAACAAAGAGACCAAACCTCAGGTCGGTCTTCCGTTGAAATGATAACAAGAATAGAGTGAGTCATTGTACAGCGTTTTGAAGAAAAAAGCGCCGTGTAAGTATGTTTGGAGGTGCTTTCCGGTGGAAAGAACGCCGACATGACAAACGAACAACTTGGCACCCCCAACCATCGAAAATCCGAAGCACGTCTCAAGAACAGCTTCAATAGATCGATCTGTCTTGAAACAACAACTGCGCACAGAATTTTGAAGAAAGGTCGCGTGCTGTTCTCATCGACCTCACCAAATCTTCCCTCTCGCCAAGTAGCATTCAGCACCGTCTTCTGGCCTCAATTAGCTAGGATGATCCACATCCAGTGAGCGGTTCTAAAACCTGTGGCATTTGCCTATGTCGTAAGATTCTTCTTACGCCACTGCTTACGCGCCCCTTACGCGACAATGGCAGCTTACGCGCGTAGTTCTTGGAAGAAGGGGCTTACGCAACACTTACGCCTATGAATTTGAGCACCACACCACAGCACAGCTTACACGCGATCGGTTTTCCAGGCGGAGCACACACATGGCGTTAACAGCAAAAATGTCTGGCAGAAAGGATTGGCACTTGGAATGCACTGAGTTCAACAGATCTGTCACCTCTGCCGCTGGGCAGTGAGCGGCAAAGAGTTAATGGGTTGTGTTGGGTCTTCAAAGCAAACCACGCTTACGCAGTGCTTAGGGGCAGCCTACGCGGCACTTCTGCGGATGTCCGACACCAAAAGCCTGAAACGGATTCACCGATGTTCAGAAACATGCCCCTGCATGTTTCAATGGTGTGTGACAGTTGTCCGTACACGGTGCAAATATATGCAAATATGATTTCAACAAATATGTGTAAAGGTGACATGACATGTAGCAATGTATGCTGATACTTGGGCTTGCTTACGCAGCTTATGCGATTCCATGCGATTCCTATCTCCCACCAAAAGCTTACGCAACGCTACGCACGCCAAAGTTTTGCTTCCGCGAACCATTCATGTGACAAGCCCACCACTAAACATCAAAGGCGAGAAACATGAGAAATACAGTCGAAGAACAAAAAAAGAGCAAGCACCCTGCACAAAAAATGACGTTAAAGAAGAAACATGTCAAAAGATGTCAAAAGGATCCTTTTCTTGGAAGAGCATTCAAAGCAAACGAAAGACATAAGCATAAGACCAAATCACTGGCAGCGACCAACAGCCCTTCCGACAGTTCCAACGACTCCAACGACCCTCCGTCCGTGTCCGTTCGGTTCGCAGCGAGGTGCCGATGAGGAGGCCGACGGTGAGGCAATCCTCCTGTGGGACACCCATCATGAAGGCCAGCGGCCACATGGCATAGGACATGACCTAGGCGTATACGGAAGCAAAACACAACCAACACAAGTGTGCACCGAATGTTCAGCACCTCACCTGGAAGAAAACACCTGGGCCGAAGACGCATCCCTGCCGTACAGCACTCATACTGCGTCATAGTCAGCACCTGCGTCCCAAGTGGCCAGATCAAAGGTCAGACCTTGGAGTCCCACCAGCTCTCCAGTCCACTCCAAAGCGGCATTCCTCGTGGGGCCAAGCCGACGTCCGTCGTCGGACGGGCTGCAACCATGGGCCACCCACTGGCCGTTTTAGGAGCACCACCCACAACTTGGTGTGCGTCTCATTTCGTAGATGTCATCGGAATTCGGTGGTTTCTAGTAGTGGTTTTCTTCAGCAAGAGAACAAACACACCCAGATCCCTAGATTGCCAAGGTCTCAAGAAGGCCATGGCAGCCACAAATGCAATCAGCATCCCAGCGATCGTGCCAGCCTCAGCGAAGCGCAATGCGATGCCGGGGGCACAAGCGCTGGCCGGGGAAGCAGAAGGTGACCCGGAACCCGGCACTGGAAAGCCTGGCTGAAGTTGTTCAAGCCGAAATCGGCAGACAAATGATGCAAAATCGGGTTCAGATGGGTTTTGATTTTTGGGGTTGACACATCCATGCAGGAAGCACAGGATCAAGGCCTCACCTTTCTTGTTGGGATCTTCCAGCCTGCGTCCAAGGGTCCATAACAGTTCCTTTCAAATCTAAACACATGTCCAAACACCTCAGTGAAGCTCAGTCTCCATCTTTCCACCCAGTAATTGCATTAACCACGCTGATCTTGTCCAAACACGCTCCTCCATCTCCTGGTCCTCTATTCACAACTCGATCCTGTCCTCCATCTGCTCACCCAGTGGCCAGCGAAATGCCGGTGATCACTCCGGTGGCCATGGCATCCAAGACGTTCCCACTGCCATCGCTGGTCACGGCCTTGAGGTCGTTGGTCCTGACCGAAGAATGGTTTCGTCGGTTCGGGCGCGCGTGAAACCATAGGGGAAAGTTGGATCGGCCCCGGTGTCATTGTTACGGGAAACAAACCACTGAAAAACATATATGTGTGTTGTTTCTCAAAAAAAATGAATAGCAGCAGCGAAACGTGCTTGTGGGTAATTGGCACCGGGAGACTGAAGGGTTTGACGTACTGGTGTCGGTACTGGTGTCGGTCTTGTCTTTACTGAACATCGTTGAACGACCCATCCAAGACAACCACGATCCGGCCGGGTGCGGCCGCGCGCGACGCCGCGCTCAGGCGGCCCAAACAGGCGAGCCGAGCCAGATGGAGATTCACCCGAGGATTTGGGGATTGGGATCCGACGATTGCTCCATGCGGCCCTTGAAAATGGATCAATGTTTAGACAGAATATAGACTCATCAGGGTGAAGAGCGCTGTCAGAAATCCAACCCCATCGGTGCTTCATTAGGGTGAAGTTTATGCAACATTATGCAACCATAACTAGTGCAACGGAACATTCCGTCTGTTCACGCGTCCTAAAAGATCGTGCCTAACCTGCCTCTGAAGAAACCAACTTAATAACCGTTTCGCATACAAGCATATTGTAGAGCCCACCGGGCACCGAAACAAACCTCGCGATCCCGCCCGAACACCACCTGGAAATCTCTGTCTCGGGATAGCTCAGCTTGGCCATGGCCAAGGCAGCTGGGCATGACATCACCTGAGACGTCAGGCTCGGCTCGGATCTGCTGCCGCCACCCGAGGGCCCACGTGATGTTTGACATCCGAAGTACAGACGTCGTCCAATGCCAAGAAGGACGGGTATCTATAAGGATCCGAATCAATCCATGCAACATGAACATCATCCCAACAACAAATACCAGGACCCTACCCTTTTGGGGGGGATGTCTATGTCCATAGCCGAGGCTAGCTCTTAGAGGTGATTCGGTGTGTCCAAAATCCTCCCGAACTTGGTTCCGGTCCTGGTATAAATCCAACCACTTCAATCACCATCGCTCTTCTTCAGCACCTTCCCAATCGCTCTGAAAGCCATGGGATGATTCACATCTCTCCAAATATACCAGGACCATCCAATGGGTGCCCAATTGGAAATCCCATAGGCGACCCCAAATCACCGGAGTCACGGGGTTGAACCACCTCTCCCCCGTCGCGGCAGTCCAGCCGTCCCCCCGCACCGAGGCCGCCAAGAGGTGGTCGGCTGGAATGTGAAAAGCGATGTAGGCCTTGGCTGTCCGGAGACGGTCCAGGCGGAGAGAGGTGGACAGTGACCTGAACTAGGACCGCAGCCTGGGGATACCCAACAGGGATAGTCTAGTTCAGGTCCTTCAACCTCTTGGGGAGGTCCAGGCCGAGACGTCCGGAGACGGTCCTCCATCGACCGTTTCAAGGGTGGTGGCCTCCGTCGATCCGTCGATGGGAGGCCTCGATCCTGCACCCGCATCTGGGGTCAACTGGAATGGTGCACGTATCCCAGACCACCCATGGGACTGGCATAAGACAGGGCTGGTTACTGGGAGTGGATCGGCGCCAGTCCCATTCTAATCGTGATCTGGGTAGAATTTGAAGAACTGAGGCCACCCATGGAGGACGGAGGACGAACTGGACGGAATCATTTCTCATGAGAAAAGCCTCCCAAAGGAGGTGGGTGAACACTGTGAATGCTCAATCTCAACTCCGTTGCAATTCGGAACAGATTTGCACTCTGAGTTCCTATCGGATTTGAAGCCATGGTCAACTGAAACAGGCCAGCATGCCCCAGCAACAACCCGATCTTCCAAAACTGTGGCCCTCGTTGACTTAACCCTTCTGACTTCCGCTTCTGCCGGAGGAGGCTCCACACGTTTGGCCCCCCCTTTTTCCCGGCTTTTCGCGTGGACGAAGCAGAAGTCTCGGCCCTCTTCGAGGGAGCCTTCTCCGTCACACGGCGTCACCGCCACAGCTGCGCCGTCACCGCTGCGCTGTCACAAGCTCGGCTGCACGCCGTCGGCGGAGTTGATGTCACCGCTCCGAGCTTTGCGGGCGGTGGGAAGTGGATCGGCCAGTGTTTTGATGTGTTTTGGGGTGCGAAGTAGAGAGATGCCAGCTCTTCTGCTGTTGAAGCATTTTCGGGGTGCTCCAAATTTTCTTCGGCCCTGTGGCTAGCGAGCCTCTTGACACACCGACCTGGCCCGCTGTTGGACCCCTATAGCTTGGGATCGACCGATCCGTCTCCTGCGTCTTCCCCTCGTGCCGGAATCTTTCCTCGGCACCTTCAGGCTGGGATGCAGGAGCACAGCCGACTGGTCGCCTGGTTCTTGGCACCGCAGCGTGGGATGGCATCGTCCGTGACCAAGCATTGCTTGCCTCGACCAGTCCAGGTCAGAAGTTCTTCCAGATGGTGAAGGGTCATCTGATTGACAGTCCAGTAGGAACCCTAGACAGGAGCATAAATGTGGGTCCCCTTTGTAGAGTGGGTCTGGTGTGTTGAAGAGTAAGCCCGGAATTCTCCACCAGTCTGGATGCCCAAAGTGTTGCAAGTTTTGGAAGCCAGCAGCCCACTAGCGAACCGAACATCGTGCCACTCTCCATGAAAAACCAAAGTGCCCAGGTCAGGACAGGGAAGTGTGGGCAGAAATCTCGCTTTTTCCTGGCTCTGCCCTGCGAATCCAGTCTGCCCTGTAAAAAAGAATGGTCTGACTCAGTGTTGCGGAGACCAGGAATTTCCTTTGCCTCAGTCGGACTTGGACTTCGGGTCGGAAGTGTCCACTCCCCACTTCTACCCCCTTCGCCGCTGAACAGTCGACTAGTCGCCGGTATCTCTGGAAGCTTCATGGACATAGCAGGGGATCTCTTCTCCCACTTGGTGTCCACAGCCCTCTTCGCAGGGGAAGTGTGCCTGCGAGGCAAAGAGTTGTGGGCCCGGGCTCGAGGGTTGAAAGACTCCTAGGAGAATCAAGCTGTTCCTCTTACCTTGCAGAGATGTTCTCCCCTTTCGAAAGGCTCTTTTTCAGCTTGGACATTGGACATCCTGCAGAACCTCGGACTGCGTGTGTTTTCCCCCCAGCGCGCAGCTCCGCGGGCGGGTTCTGCCTTCAGTGCAGCACAATCATTGATGAACTCCAACTCAAAATCGGAGCAAATCATCCGAAGCCGTTGGCACATGTCCTGCACCGCTTCGAACTTGGTTCTTCCCAACTGCTCTGTGGGTGGCTTGGTTGGTAGACTGGTCCAGTTGCTTTCGATTGGGACCAATCACCGATCCAACGATGTCTTTGTTCCCCTACAATTCCTAGACACTCCATGGGACTGCCATAGATGCCGATCAGTTGGGGTGGTGCCAGAGGGGTCAATGGGGCGGCATATATGGCAGTCACATGTGTCGTGTCTGGGATTTCCAAGTTCACATCGAGATGGTCGCGGGTCCAAATCATCTCCGGTACCGTCCGAACTTCACTTCGTGACCGGGGGATGACTCTTATACGAGAAGATGTCAGTTTCACGATGAATTCAAGGTGTTCTTTTTGCCACGGCCAAAAAAACATCCTGAGAAGGACCTCTACATTGACTCTACATCCGAAATACCACCACCTCCTCCTATCGCTCCGGAGCTAGTAGCTCCTCGCCCACCCACCCGGCGTGAAACACCGCGTTTCTCCGCCCGAAAAGCGGAGACACCGCTCCGCGCAGGACTCGCCCGGCCGCGCGGCGGCCACGTGGCGCTGCTCGTGCGGGAAGGCTTGTTCGGTGCTAGGCAGCCAGGGGCTGCTGAGGCGATTCGCCAAGAAGACGGCGGCGCCGCTCTTGGGATCCCTAACAAAGCCACGGGACTGGGTGACGTGACGCCACGGGGGTTCGGGGGAGTGAGACGGGGAGAGGTCCGCAGCGACGGCCAACAGGTCACCAATTGAAACCTGTTAGAGCCTTTCACAACCCTCCAGCCATCGGAGACCTGTTGGGTTCGGTGCTGGTATAGCAACGTCCTTCCTTTTTTGGGCAGAAGGAATGCCGTCCAGAATATCTCTATCAACGCAGCCAAGAGATGCCACAAGGGGCAGAATGTCTGGACATGTCCAAGGTATTCGAGAGATAATATATAAGTATCAGGATATAATATACAGAGTGTAGAGAATCATTTTGGGGGATGGGAGTTGCATCTGTAGATTTGATGAGATAGGGTGACTGACTTGCGCCTTGTCAGTTACAATGAATCCGGTTCCGCGGTGGTGCAATTCTTCGATGAGGGGCTGCACTTCTGGTTGAATAGGGCCCGGGTGTCTTCGATGCAAATCGGCAAGGGTTTTAGAGAGTTTTGCCAGAAATTCTTGGGCCAATGACAGTTCTAGAGGCTTCAATGTTGCTCATCAGTATGTCATCAATTCAGCAACTGGACCAACTCCGTCCGTTCCTTCCTTTCCACCACCACCAGGGTCCAAAAACCCCCACGTGCCGCACGGCGCGCTCAAAACCAAAAAACAAAACGCACCGCTTCCACCCTTCTGCAGATCCGAACCCCCAAAAGAAAGGAGCGATCGGACGCTACGATCGGGGTTCCCGGCCTTACGAACGGAGCAAGAAGGCTACGAACCGGAGCATTTCGGGCATCGCTCACGAACGGAGCGGTCGGACGCTCCGGACTCGGCCTTCGACGCTCCGGACGGCCCCGTTGGAGCCACCCCGTTCGAGGTGGTCGGCGCCTCGTGGCGATGAGCCCCTCGTGGGAGCTGCGCGGCTGCGCCTCGGTGATCTGCAACTTCTGCGCCAACTTCCTCGGTCGAAGGTCCCGGACGGATCGAAGAAGGACGGCGAGAAGAAGGCCGGGGGGGGGTGGTTCATGGATAGCCCGGAAAAACCTCTAACTAGACACCTTTTAATAGGAGGCCCTGGTATATACTCCCCTGCTATTCGGACCACATGGAATCCCCAAAACCTGGGAATTGGTATTCGGAAAGTGGTCTTCTACGGCTGAAGTATCAGGTTCCATGTTACTTAGCGTGGGGGTCAATCCAAACTCCCCAGAACCCCATCCGAAGTCGCGCCCGATGTTGACCAGTTTCTGTAGTTTCTGAGGGGGGGAGAAGGGAGGGTGACCGAGGTGATGGATAAGATTTGTGCTTCGATCTGCAAGTGGGGGACTAGAAAGTAGAGTCTCATCGTTCATCGTGGAGGTCGCTGGAAGAGTCTTCGGAATCAGATCGATCACTATGTTTCAACTACCACTCAAGAACCTCTCTCACCCTTTCCCTGCGAACCCGGGGGACCAGTTTAACGAGTACCATGCGATCAGAGACTACTTTCACTAAACAGCTGCTCTCCGATCACTTTTCTGGCACATCGTCCGACCATCAGCGATTCCAGGCTGCGACCATGTCAATCCTGCAGCAAAAATCGATAGCATTCTTGCAAAAATAGTCCAAAATTCAACATCGAGTTTGCAACTGCCATGTTTGCAGCACATGTCCGGTCCTTCTCATCCGCTTCTTGGCCACTTTTAGCCTGGCCAGCAGTTGATATCTGCCCACGTGTAATATACTTCGCAGTATATTTTCATGCATACTACAAGCAAATGCCCATGAATTGTACCACAATTTGGTCATTCACAGGGGCCTGAGCCGGGCAATTTTGCAGAGATACTGCTCGCTCTGAGCACCAGATACATGGCGAGCAACGTGCTTCAGGACTCCAATCGAATCTTCTTCGCTAAAGCAGGACCAGTGGCGAGAATTGTGACCTTCAGCAGGTCTCACTTTTTGGCAAATAGCTCATGAGATCTCAACACCAAGCTTGAAATCAGAATCCACGTTAAGCCAAGACGCGCCAATGCAGCGTTCGTTTGATGACATGCTTGTAGATGTGAAGCTTCGGTTTGAGCAACCATGCCACTCGCTGCTGCCTGCGCAATTCACAAATTTGCAATGCCAGGAGCCCTAGTAGCGACCTTCAGCCCTAATAGCAATGCCAGGAGCCCCTAGTAGCGTCCTTCAGCCCCTATAGTAGCAATGCCAGGAGCCCCTAGTAGCGACCTTCAGCCCCTAGTAGCACTGACTGGCGCCCCTAGTAATGTCCTTCAGCCCCTAGTAGCGATGCCAGGAGCCCCCAGTAGCGTCCTTCAGCCCCTAGTAGCGATGCCAGGAGCCCCTAGTCGTCCTTCAGCCCCTAGTAGCAATGCCAGGAGCCCCTAGATTGCAGCTTGAACATGCCCTGACCACCTGCAAAACGAATGAACACTCATGCAAATCCTGTGCTAGCATGTTAATAGAGTCGTGAGTAGCAATGCCAGGAGCCCCTAGTAGCGACCGGCGCCCGTCCGCCACCCAACCATCGAGGGTGATCATCGACG